TAATTATACATAATTAGTTCAAAACTATGGATTACTCTATTTTTTAATATTTAAAATCTTTATTACCTATCTATTATAATTAATATGAATATTTTAAGCTATACACTATAATAATAATAATACTATAATTTTATTAAAAAAATGTTATGGGGAAGGGGGGAAAATGAGGAATATTATTTGCAGTTAAAACCTATAATTTTAAATCTACTGTTGCCCATACCAAAATTTAGTCCTAGAACCGCGCCTGTGGAGGGATGCTATTGAATGCGATATGTGGACAGCTGATGTGAGCGTAGATGATGTGTACTGTTACATTGCGACCTTCGTTTCAAAATAATGTATGTGTAGCTTTTTATTTTCACTTTATCTTATTTGAAATTTACACTTTAGTTTTATTATTAAATAAAATAAAATACTTGATAATAACTTTATTAAATAATTTGATTTTTATTCATTTTTAACAAAATGTTTGACATTAATGAAGTACGTATTTTGGTTTACAAATATGGTAGAAAAAATTAATACATCAACATTATACATTAAAATTATATAAATATAAATAAAGAAGAGTAGGGTAAGTTGACATACCTAGATAAATTTAGATTATGCTTAAAAATGTATATATATATATTGTTCAATTAAGAGACTTGTTCTTAATTGAGACTCTCTTAAGAAATTTCGGATGTACTTTACAATTTTTTAATTAATCTATTTAATAATTAAAGATATAATAAAAATTGGAGTTTAAGAATATTTAAAAGGAGAACCCCCTATGGTATGCTCATTGATAGTTATTAGGTTTATTTTTTTTAGTAACTGAGTTAATTCAACTAATTATAAGAAAATTATTTAATTTATAGAATTTGTATACTTAAATAACAATTTTTTTTACTTTTCAGTCTCATTCGTATACAATGTGTACAATTCATATGTTTTGAGCAAATAATGAGAATGTAGAGTTTTTTTAATTGAATAATCGGCTATTATCGAGTTTTCTCGACCACATTCACCTCAACTCGGGAAAATGTAGCGCACCCGATCATATATCATCTGTTTGTTGATTTTCAGGAATCATCAACAGCGTAAATACTATTTATAACCATTTTAATTGTTAGCAATTACTACTAGTGTCATATTCAGAGTGAAAAAGTTCAACTATAGTATGAAAATATGGAAATAATAGCAAGTTCATATAGCACAGTTGGTTATTAGGTATATCCAAGTGAGAAGGAGTTAATTGGCAATGTCGATAATTAATGATAGGTAAGTAATAATCATTAAAATTAAGTGAGTAATTGACTATGTGCTTAAATTAATATAACGGAAGTTATAATATCGAAACTATACCTATAACGTCCACTAAAACACAACTGTCTGTTGTTAGTATGACGTCAGTAGCTTCAAGCTACAGCCTAGTAGAATTGTCATATCATCACCTCCTTCTATGATAATTAATATTTTTAACAAATTGAGTAAATGAAAATACATCATATATAATATGTCGTAAGAGCATAGTAATAATTAATGTGTTTTTATCAACAATAACCAAGCTTTTTTTTTTTAATTCCAATAATATTATTTTATTTTTTATTCAATATTAATAATTATTTTTAGTAGATAATTTTCTAACTTGTAAGTTAGTTCTATATACAATTTATAGCTTATAAAAATATAAAATATGTATAAATATAGCTTATATAAAACTCAACTATATTCAAATTTCAACGGTCAATAGGAGTCCTGTTGCCGTTTAAAAACCATCACCTCAATAGAATTTTTTTAATTGAATTTAAACAGAACTTAGAATAACATATGATAATATTTGACAAACGTCACAGCAGTCGCCCTCTCAACTGACTCTGGGTCCACACTTAATAATATGTTTTTTTAAATTGACAATGATCAGTAAGACTATAAGTGGGAGCTCTCGTGTTTTGTTAAACAAGGCTACTAGTACACAGGATGATATTTAATTTTTGTCAGTTATTAATACTTCACTCTAATATATGTATGTGTTTTGCTATAAAGTACAATGTTCTCTTATTTTATTTCTGTTACTTATTCTTTTTACATTACAGTTACCCTACTTTTGATTACATTCTCTGCATTTTATTATTATTGTACTCGACATTTTGAATACTGGCAAAAATTAAATGTACCATTCATACAGCCAATTCCGATTTTTGGAAATTTGTTTAAAATGGTCATTGGATCCTGTCATTATAAAGATATACTTGACGAAATTTATAGATATCGTGCTGAAGAGAAATATGTTGGGCTTTATCAAATGATGGCGCCTACGCTAATGGTACGTGACCCAGAGCTCATTAATAATATTCTTATTAAAGATTTTTCTCATTTTACTGATCGTGGTATACCCGCCGACATTGAAAACGCCCCTCTCCTTAACCATTTATTTTCAATGGAAGGTGAACAGTGGAAAATAATGAGACGTAATATGAGTCCAGCTTTTACGTCACGAATGTTGAGAAACATGTATGATCAAATTAATGAATGCAGCGATGAATTAATTGCGCATATCAATATGAAGTTAAATAAAATCGATACCATTGAAATAAAAAGATTTATTGGAAACTATTCGACCGATGTCATTGGAACTTGTGTTTTTGGCTTAAAACTTAATTCTATAGCAAATGAAAATACTCCATATCGAAATGCTATTAAAGAAATATTTAACCCTTCCACGAAAACAATAATAATTCAATTACTTACATTTTTAAGTCCAACAATAAAAAAACTGCTCAAGCTTAAAGATATACCAACACATATCACAGATTTTTTCGAAACATCTTTTCGTGATACGATGAAGTATAGAAAAGAAAATAATATTTTGAGGAATGATCTTGTACAATGCCTAATTGATGCTAATACAAATTTAGTAATAAATAAAATTGAGCCAACAGGTAATTTTTTACAACTTAATTAGTAGAGTTTTCTTTATGAAGAATCTATAATTTTTATTTTTATGAAGTCAATAAAAAGTATCACATATATTAAATATCTTTTCAAATTTAGTACTATAATAATCGTCTATATTCAGATTTTTTCCATTCACAAAAAAGTAGTAAAATGTTCGTCTATATACGGTTAGGGAAGTTTTGAGGTCTTCTTCAAATCTCCCGTACTGAATACTTAGCTATCGCTTTGGATTGAGCTTAAACAACATAAGCAATACATTGTTTTACGTTGTAAAATCAAAAAAAATATCTTTAATAAAGGGCGATCCTAGAGATAATTTTTAGGAGTATGTGATGAACTTTACCAACTCTTGATAATAAATTTGCCAACTGAATTATCTCAATGAGTAAAAATATCGACAATATATTTTGAAAATATTAACCATGAATGACTTTAATAAATTTTTAGTGGGCTGATGACCCCTTTAATGAAATCTCCTCTGTTAATTCAATAGAAAAGAAGGTGTGTAACATTTGGCACTTATGAAAATAAAAATGTTTATAAGATTTGAAACTTGATTTTTAAGAGTTTAGGGATTCAATAATAAATATAACTAAGAATACTATGCAAATATGAATAGTTAATTAAAAAACAACAGAGAGATTAAAGTTGTAAATTAAAGTTGTCAGAAACATGAGATAATGAAAAATGTCATCATTATACTCAGTACAGTTTCATATTGACAAAATTGGAAACGATCAAGTTGAAAACATTATAAATTGTTATCCTCAAACAAAAAACCTAACGTGTATTACTATGAAGACTAATATTTAAGAAATTGTAGCTATTTCTAATAACCATAATATTTTTAATAAATGGTCATAAAAACTAAATTATTATGGAAATAATAAAGAAAATAAATAAATATAACATGATAAAATAAATACTTTCACAACCTTGTGGCGACGCTAAAGTAATATTAAAAATATTTTAAATGATTAATATTTTAATTTTTAAAAACTAATTGGACAATTATTGTAAAAGAGCACAAGTTCTATTAGACAATATTTATTGCATATTCTTTTAGACATGTTAAAGACCCACCAAATAAAGAAAGAAAAATTATGATTTTAAAATGTGTTATTCTAAATATGCTTTTCAAAAAGGAAAATATCATACAATTAAAATAAAATATAAGTCTTTTGCTGCTGTGAAAAGCTAAAATTTATTATTTTTTCCTTTTTTTAGTGGAGTGGCGTGTGAGTAAATCCAATTTCTTAGTAAAACAACTTGACAAAATGTTATAATTTTTTGTAGTCAATAATTTTAAAAATACAAAAACATTTATAAAACGATTTCAATTATGTATCTTGATTCTAAATTTAACTTATTATTATTTAATTAGATAAGATTAATTCAAATACTAAATGATTTCTAGAGGACATCCTTAAAATGTTTAAATAAGTCATATGTATTAAATTATACAATTATTCTGAATTAAAAAAAATTATTTTTTTGTTGTCAAATAACCTGTCAATAACAAATTATTTTAATTTTTTTAATAGTGTCTTTCAAAGAAACAGACATAATCGCTAATGCATTTTTGATGTTGATTGTTGGATCTGAGACAGTAGCAACTTCATTGAGCTTTTGTTTGTATGAACTAGCTCTTAACAAATCTATTCAAAACCAAGTTCGTGAAGAAATAGTTAAAAGCGAACAAAAAAATATAAATGGTAGTACGTTTTTAATGGACCTTCATTATACAGAAATGGTGATAGCAGGTCAGTAAATTTTATGTATAATTTAAAAACTAGTTTAACTGTGTTAAAAGTTTTAACATAAATATTAACTTAATTTTTCAGAAACCTTACGAAAATATCCAGTTAGTCCAATTGCAATGAGAATAACAACAGCTACATATCAGATTCCTGATGATAAATTAATTCTTTATAAAGGTACAAGAATATTGATACCAATACATAGCTTACATTACGATCCTAAATATTTTCCGGAACCAGAAAAATTTGAACCTTTACGGTTTACGCACGAAGAAAAAATTAAGCGGCCTCATTGCTCTTATATTCCATTTGGAGAAGGTCCTCGTTTATGCATAGGTATTATATAAAAATATACTTAAAATAATAATTATAGTTCTTAATTGAGTAATTTTCTAGGTAAACGATTTGCAGAATTGGAAATGAAGATGGCACTTGTTAAACTGTTAACAAAATACGAAGTAGAACCTTGTGAGAAAACCGAAGTGCCTCTTATATTTGATAAAAGATCCATAATGTATAGTCCCATAAATGGAATATGGTTGAAATTAAAATTACTTTGAAAAAAATAGATGCCTATATTGGTTCTACATATAATAAAAAATAGGCGCTTCAGAAAATATGTAAATAATATAATAACAAGTTTTGAATTTTACAATTTATAAGCGGAAGTATTTTAATTAATAATTTATTGTATAAAATTATAATAAATATGATTCCTTAATTAACTTATTTTTGTGTTCAAAAATAATGATTATTTATTGGCTACTTTATAAGAAAAATAAAATTTATTTTATAAACTAACTTTATTTTTAATTTAATAATTAAAATCAAGAGTAAAGACTTCAGTAATAAACTGTCTAAAACTAGTTAAAACATAATTAATTGTATTTCTAATCATCAGTAATAGTTAACACTTTTCACTATAATTTGATCAAGAATATAAAAATAACATTAAAATATCACTTACATAATAATAAAAATTTTTTTTATAAAATTTAAGAAATTTAAATTAAAAAAATTGATTTTGAATAACGTTTTATTGTTGTTGAAATGCTTTAAATTCTGAAATTGTTAAGTATAAAATAATTTGTATTTAAATAAAATACACATACGATTATATTTACATTATCAAACCTTTTTTTACGAATTTTTATCCTCTTGTATAGAATCTAATTTCTTACTCATTTATTTTCATATTTGACTGGTTCTTTTAGTAAATTTTACGAAAAAATTTTTATAAAATGTCAAAAATAATTTATATTTTTTATTGATCAAACTAACTTTATATATAAAAATATTATTTTAATATTTATCACTCCAAATAAGTTGCTCTCCGCGAGTAACAAAATAATCACAAAAATGTCTACTAATTTAATCAACAAACAAGTTAAACATTCAAAAGGGGATAAAGATCTTAAATTATTCAAAATTTTTAATAATCTCAAAAAAATTATTAGTATGTGTTGTTATATGACTGTATAAACATTTCCTAAAATAATTCTTGGAAGTTATGACAAAATTTAAGAAGTTTAAATTCTGAATTTGCGTTTATTAAGCTAAACAACAATAATATCAATAATCTATTCTCATAATCATAATCATAAACATGATCTTGAGAATGGACAGACATAAAATAGGTAAAATACCTAAAGTCTACGATGTATTAAACATAGTTAATTAGAAAATCGTGTTTTTATAATAAAATTTAATATTATTAATATATTACAGCATATTTAATAATTAATTATAATAAAAGAATTTCTGTACTCAAACATAAGATTTCATTGATTATTTTTTTGAACATCAGAATATTGTTTTGTTATCGTTCTATGTGATTATCTGTTTCCATATTTTTGGTATTAGTCATTTTTATACAATAAAATTGTCGGGGTTCATTCAAACACGGATAATCTTCATGTAAAAATACCATACCTAAAACTAATACTAATTATACAATTATTGTGTTTCTTCTATCCATCTCTGACGAACTGTTATATACACCTTTCAATGTCATTCTTATCTGTTAAGCAATAAACTATATTAAAAATATAAATTTTTTTATAAATGATAAAATACACATAAATAATAGTATAAGTTATCACAAATTATTTCAATATTAATATACAATATTGAGGGACGGTGTGGACGAGTTATTAATGCGACAGTTCCTGATGCACAATGTCTGGGGTTCATTTCATGTGTATTAGTAATTGTGTATTCATTTTATAAGATAGCATGTAGTAAATAATACGAATCAATTTAATAAAGATAAAATAATAGCCTTACTGACACCTCTTACATATGTATACAGCTATAAAATTAACGAAATAGGAATATAAAAAGAACCAAAGAGGCTTAAATCTTTTGCATCTCATTGATTTCACTAATTTGACTCATATGCAAGAAGAGAACAGTCACATTCCAATTTAATTCAAATAAACAAGACGATTTATATTAATTTCTAAATACTCACTGAAAATATCAAGGTAGATATTAGTATTACTAAAATAATAAGGTTTCGAATTAACCATTTCTTTTAAATACATGATTTAAATAGGCACAAAGAAATATTAAATTATCTCTAAAAACAAAATATTAATTAAAGTAAATCAGTAATGCTTATTTGGATCTGATTGGCTGAGTTAGATCATTATACGTGTCTATGTCAGGAGACAATTTGGAGGTTCATAGCCACCAAACAAACCTGGGTAGACATACACGGTGACTCTATCCCATCTATCATTGATAATCGTAATAGTGGAATTATTGATATTAAAGTATATGACAATTAATCACAGTAATTTGTACATTAATAATTGATAAATATTCTAAGTAAATTTACATTAATTGAATTATTTAGAATTATAAATCTGAGTAGAGTACGATAAAACAATATAATAAATACTTATATTAGTTTTTAATTTTCAATTAATTATCACTGACTAGTTTGTACCTCGTATAAAATAATCATATATTACTTGGTATTTGTGAGATTGTCACTATCACTTTTTCGTTGCTTCAGTGTTTTACAAGGAATCACCAGTCAGCCTGTTTAGATCATTTTTATAAAGGGGAATTATAATTATTTCTTTTATATCTACTAGTCTATGTTGTTCTAAGCCATCTAGCTCTACAATCCCAATAAAACCGCGATGCTAATAAATTGACCAAAAACCCAAACATCCCAGTTTAGTCAAATAATAATCACATATTCTTTATTTTCCTTTTTGGTTATTTCAATTTTTTTAAACATATTTGTTAATTTTTTTAATAAAATAAATATATGCGGGATGGTCGATTAAATATAACACTAATTTTCTTAGATACTCTATAGAATAGTATTAATTTTCGTAAATAAAAATATTGTTTGATTCAAAAAACTCTATAAAATATGTGGTTAGATAATTTTTTTTATTCTTTAGAAATAAAACTAAATTTTGATTTTTTGGATAGGAACCTCTATTTTTGGTTGAATGATATCTTACAAACATGATTTAGAACATTTTTATTCCTATATTTTATATTTGATAATTTTTTTTTGCCTACACAACATAGACTGATGGTAATGGAGTTGTGGTGTACCGAGATAAATAAAAATAGAAGAAACACAGGGGAAAAATCGAAGATCCAGTAGTGGAAATTGAAAGGGGAAAATAGTTTGTCAAGACAGTAAAAGAGAGGATGGTGTGGAATTTTGAGAGAGACGTAAATGATGTGTGGAATAGATTTGTTTGTTGTGTAAAGAATACTGCAAAGAAGATTATTGATGAAAGTAGGAGTACAATGCCAGGAAACAAGGAAACCTGGTGGTGGGATGAGGACGTTAAAAAAATCATAGAAAGTAAAAGAAAAAAAGCAATTCAAAGTATAGCAGAAAAACAAAAGGAGAGAAGAATGGGTGGAGTATAAACGCTTGTGCGAAGAAGCTAAGTGTGCAGTAAGTAAGGCGAAGTTTAAGAGGTATGACAAGTTGTATGATAGGCTAGGAACAAAGGAAGGCGTGAAAGAAATCTATAGACTTGGAAAGGTAAGAGAGAAAAGGTCTAAAAATTATCATTATATAAGGTGTATATAAAGTGTTGACAATAAGGTACTCTTGAGGGATGATGATGTGAAAAAAGGTGGAAAGAGTATTTTGACACACAGGAGTGTGGAAATTATAGAGACATAAAGCTTATGAATCATAGTATGAAAATTTGGAAAAAGGTAATAGATAAGAGAATAAGAAATGAGACATCGGTATCTAAAAACCAGTTTGGATTTATGCCTGTTAAGTCAACAATGGAGGCATTATTTTATGTGAGGCAATTAATAGAAATGTTTAGGTAAAAGAAGAAAAAGCTCTGTATGGGATTTATAGATTTGGAAAAATCGTATTATAGAGTACCGAGAGAGATTTTAAAGTGGGCATTAATGAGAAAAGGAGTCTAAAAAATATACATTAATATAATAGAAGATATCTATGAAGGCACCTACCAGGGTAAAAAGTGTAGGAGGAGTATCAGAAGGTTTTCGGGTAAAAATAGGAGTGCACCAAGGTTCTGCTTTAAGCCATTACTTGTTCTCTATAGTGATGGATGAGATTACTAGAGAAATACAAGGAGAGGTGCCCTGGTGCATGTTGTTTGTTGACGATATAGTGTTAATAGGAGAAGATAGGGAGGAAATTAATCAAAGTCTAGAGTTGTGAAGATCAGCTCTTGAAGAAAAGGGTTTAAGTAGAAGTAAGACAGAATATATAAAGTACGAGTTTGACAAAGGAAAACACGAGATAGGTGAAATGAGGAGGTCAGTGAAACTTGGCCAGGATGTGATTGGAGAGGTGGAGAATTTTAAGTATTTAGGGCCAGTTGTGCAAAAGAGTGGTGGTATTGACGAGGATGTAAAACACAGAATTAAGTGCAGGTGGTTGAAGTGGAGAGAAGCGTCTGAGGTCTTATGCGATAAAAGAATACCAATAAGGCTGAAAGGTAAATTCTACAAGACTGTAGTGAAGCCAACTATAATGTATGGTTCAGAGTGTTGGGTGATTGATAAGAAAATAGAGCAGAAAATGAGGGTAGCAGAGATGAGAATGCTTAGATGAATGAGTGGAATGACTAGAAAAGATAAAATAAGGAACGAGCATATAAGAGGGTGTTTAGGTGTAGCGTCAATCGTGGATAAGATAAGAGAAAATAGAGTTAGATAGTTTTGTCATGTTATGAGGAGAGAAGAATCGGAAGCTGTAAAAACAGTTATAGAAATGAATGTTGAAGGCAGAAGAGGTAGAAGAAGACCAAAAATGATATGGAGGGATGCTATTGAATGCGATATGAGGACAGCTGATGTGAGTGTAGATGATGTGGGAGATCGTGTCAAGTGGAAGTTAAGGATAAGGATGGCCGACCCTAAGTATTTGGGATTAAGGAGAGGAAGAAGAAGAAGACAAACTGTTTTTGACTAATTTTCTATTGATAATTTGCTGATTAGTATATAGTAGTAGTCATTTCTTCATACCGTCACATTAACATATTTTTCACTTAGCAGATATATACTATGATTCAATAATACATTATGGTTCATTAAAACAGACTACTATTACCTATATAAGATATAGGTAACAATATTTAGTAATATAAAAACAAAATTAATGTAAATTCCTATTTTAAATCCATATATTTAAACAATTTTAAAATATGGTTAGATGATTGGATGAAAATAACCATAATAATAAAATTTATTAAAATATTTTCTTGAATCATACATTAAATGTAAAATAAATTTTTTTTTTACAAAAATTGATAATATTAAATAGTTTCTAAGAAAATTAGTATTATGTTTAATTGACCACCCAGCATATTTTTTATTTATTAAAAATAGTGTTTCCCATTAATCACTTGTTATTTTTTATCATGTTATTATAGTCCTAGATTCAAAAAAGTTTTTAAAAAAGAAAGTAACAAAAATATTCAGTAAATCAAAAGTTAAAAAATTTGTCTGAATAGGTGGGTACACTTTGTAAACATATTCGGAAATTTTTTATTTTACTTAGTATTACAACTAAGTTATAAAAATATTCATAACTTCTGAAATACTGTCACAAAAGTTGTTATAGACAATTTATTTTCTTAATTAAATCATTTTCTACATTTTAATATAGTGTAATATGTATATTATTATTACAAAAATAAAATGATACATCAATGATGTGTATGGGTTGAATACAAAAATACTAAAAGTTCTTTTATACACGGAGATATAAATAATATTCATCCTAGTGAATTATGATAAATGATCACTTTGTATATATGTTCACTCTGTATATTCAGCTATATGGAATTTGAACAGTCTCTCCAGTACGATGACCTGTAATGAGATAGCTATTAAGAGCTGCGTTGATTACAATAAAAGTAAGGACATATTTAAGTACTTAAAAAATATAATTTAAAAAAACACACTTTTAAAGCACGTCGGACTAAAAAGTTAAAAATAATTTTTAAAATAAGCTTAAAACAATAATGAACAAAAAATACTAGTATTATTGTGAAAAAAGCGTCAGGCACCCGATATACGAAAAATATAACACAAAGCGCCCACGCTTTTTTTTAGTATTTTTCGTTTATTATTGTTTTAAGTTTATTTTAAAAATTATTTTTAACTTTTTAGTTGTGCTTTAGAAGCGTGTTTTTTAGTTTTTTATGACATCGCTGTGACAGTCACTGAGTGTTTATTGTCAATTATGACTATCCATAGATATAATTTCTATATTGCCAGTTAGTGTATCTATAAACTCACAACAATGTGTCTTACTACCATTGATAATAAAAACTATATACCTGCGAATATCTTCATAAAAAAACCAATTAGCTACCTGTATTTGTAATCCCTTATGTATCGTACTTGTAAATTAACTCAAAAGAATTTGAATCTTTAAATGTTTATATCTAATAATAAATAATAAATAATAAAAATTTGTTTATATATATTGTATTATTACAAAAATAAGGTTAATGGTGACTAGGTGATAGAATCAGAGGGTTTAGAACAATGATGACAAGTAGATATAAAAATATATAATTAAGGTTCCTCTTATAGAGATGTTATTATTGACCCAACTGACTTACCAGTTGGGTCAATTTCACAAATATCATGCAATGTGATTATGTATAAGGTACAAACTAGTCAGTAATAATTAATTGAAGTTTAAAGATTAATATAAATATTTGATCAGTTGCTTTATCGTTCTGTACACAGAATATTTATACTAAATAATTCAGTTATAAGATAAGTATTGACTGATATTGATTTGAAATCTTACCTGATGATTTTTCCCTGTTCTTATAATAACTTTTAATAGTATCAAGTAATAACAAAATAACACAAACTCAAATGTTAAGTTCATAAATTAACACGTGAGAATTTTGACAATGATGATTACGAACTTTACGTATCGATGTCGAGAGCGCGATTATAACAGTTCTTTAAATATCTGGAAACAGATTCTCTCAAGCACTGACTGCCTTTTCTAGTATTTTGTATATCCGAACAATCATCATTGTGTCATCCTTGCAATGTTATTATTTTATTGGCAAATAATCGTGAAATTTATAAATAAATACATGCGAATAATATACAGGTGTTCAGTAAGTCAGGAAACGGGTTTATATTGTTCTCATTGTTACAAATAATGAGAACAATAGAAACCCGTTTCCTGACTTNGAATACATGCGAATAATATATAAATCACTTTGATGTTTTATATGACGTTAATATAGTTAGTTTTTATATATGAGACTAGGGTTGACACATAGTATTTATTTATTAAGATGAGAGTAAAAAGAGCTGATAAGTATAATTTATAAATTTCATAAACAGTGATTTTTAAAGTTGATTAATTATTGACTCATGACTGAATCGTGTGAAATATAATATAATTAAACGACAGTATGCTACGTTTGTTAAATATTCCTCCGAGTTATTTATTTAAAAACAATCATGCTATTATTTTAAGCATATGAATGCTTAAAATAATAATTATTATTAATATGTATAATTATTTTATGAATAAAAGTGTTAACAATCTTAGATGAAAAGATTAAATGTAAAACCATTATTGTAGACACGTGGGCTACTCGTGTTTATTGCGAAAGTGACGAGTTTATTAAGACAATATATATAATTATACATGATATTGATGATACGCACGCATGTACGAGTACGAGAATAAAAAATAAAATGATACAGGAATAGTGTGGTCGTTGTGTAGTGAGTGGGGTGGGGTGAATGCGCTACGACAGTCTAGTCAAGGCCACAGACGATGGGGTACGTGAGAATAACAAGCGGTGCGTGGAGAGTTACAAGCAAACATATATACAGGTGAAACTAATATAAGCCTATTTAAGTATATATATAAATATTTATCTATTTAATTCATCGAGTGTAATAGTGCTAACAGTGTTCTGATCGTAAACATGTTGCCGTTTTATGATAATATTTTGTGCGTTAATACAATAATACTAACAATTTGCTTTTTAACTCTTTTGTATTACTTGAGTACATCTACGTATAATTATTGGGAAAAAAGAAATGTATATTATGTGAAACCTACACCTTTATTTGGTAATATGCTCCCAATTATTACAAGACGAGTTCATCTTATCGATGAGTTTTGGAAAATCTATAGACAAGGATTTGGAAAAAAATATATTGGTTTTTTTCAGATGAGGCAGCCTGCTTTAATGATAATTGACCCAACACTTATATCTAATATTCTTATAAAAGATTTTTCTTATTTTTCTGATNAACTTATATCTAATATTCTTGTAAAAGATTTTTCTTATTTTTCTGATCATATTCAATTTGGTGATCCGGAGAAGACGCCACTTGTGAACCATTTGTTTAATATGAAAGAGGAACAGTGGAAAATTATGCGACAAAAATTAAGTCCAGCGTTTACTCCATCTAAATTAAAATTGATGTACGATCCAATAGTTGAGTGTAGTGCGCAGTTGTTAAAAAACATAGAAACCACATTGCACGAGTCAAAAACAATAGAAGTGAGGGACATTTTTGAAAACTATTCTATAGACGTGATTGGAACTTGTGCATATGGATTAAAATTGAACGCAATTAACGATAGCAACTCTCCATTTCGTAAACATGGAAAAAGTACATTTTCACAGTTATTTAAAGCAATATTTAGAGACTTGTGTATGCTTATAACTCCAAGATTAAAACCATTTCTTATAATTAGTGATTTTTCGAAAGAAACTGTAGATTTCTTTACATCTACACTTAAAAGTACTATAAAATATAGAGAAGAAAACAACATAAAAAGAAATGATGTAGTGAAATATTTGATTCGAGCTAAAAATGATTTAATAATTAATAAAAACAGTTCATCAGGTAATTATGGTATTTTAATAACTAACGTGGTTTTATTCAGTATTTTATTAATCCTTTTCATATACTCCATGTTTCAAAAATCGATTTTTTGAATTTTGTGAAACTTTGTTGTGGGCCCATATAGTAGCGTAAAAATATTATTCGCTTTAGCGGTTGATAAACCTAACATCCATAATTATTTTTCTAATTACAACACATTACTTAGATTCCAACCCAGTTAATTCAAATTAGTATTTGGGCTGGTGATATAATAGTAATATATATCCCATTTCATACTAATATTTATTATATAACTTATAATTTTTATATTTTTTTAATTACATATTATACTTAAAATAAATTTATTAAATACATAGTTCGTTTTATTAAGTTAGATTTCAAGAGATGGATATTGTGGCAAATGCCTTTGTTATGTTTATTGCTGGATCAGAACCAATATCGGGGACCATAAGTTTTTGTTTGTATGAACTTGCATTAAAAAAAGATATTCAATGTCAGGTTCGCCAGGAAATGTTATCAGTTAAGCTAAAACACGGAACAATTAATAGTGATTACATAAATGACCTACAGTACTTAGACATGGTAATTCTAGGTAAATATAATTATTTAATTTTTTCGCGATCCCATTTAATAAAATTGTATAAGTTCTAATTTTTAATTTTGTTTAGAAACTTTAAGAAAATATCCAATATTATCATTTTTATATCGCATAACAACAAAACCATATGCGGTGCCAAATGACAATTTAGTTATAGAAAAAGGAACAAGAATATTTATTCCAGCGTATTATATACATCACGATTATAGATATTATTCAGACCCTATGAATTTCAATCCACAAAGATTTTCACGAGAAAATAAAGCAAATCAACAAGTTGGTACTTATATGCCATTTGGTTTAGGACCTCGGACTTGCATAGGTAATACTGTTACAAATAATATGACCTTCAAAATTCATCATTTAATTATCCTCCTCATACTTGAGATAATGCATATACCATTCATTATTTCTAATAATGTATTATATGTTAACTAAACATAATTTATTTTTAGGTAATCACTTTGCTGATTTAGAGATTAAATTAGCATTAACTGATTTACTTACTAGGTATGATGTTGAACCATGCGAACTAACAAGTATACCTATGATATTTAGTAAATCCTCACCTTTAATTTCACCAGATAATGGAATTTGGTTAAAATTTAATACTTTAAATGAATAAAAATATTTTGAATTTTATAAACTATGATTATATTGCTTATATCGTACGAATAATTAAAATTAATTGGTCTTATTATTACTTTTTTTTGTTTTCATAATTAACATACAAGATATTTTAGATATCATCGTTTTACCTAATAGATTGGTAGAACTCCATTAAGATTCTAAAGATACGTGTATAAAAATTGTGTAAAATTCTGTCACAAAATATATAATTAACTATTATTTATAAAAAAAAAAATATTATTTTTAAAGAGTATTCAAACATTAAAGCTAAAATTCATGTAATTTTGGTACAATGCAAATTTTCTAAATATTTTTCAAATATATAGAGTGAAACGGATCTAACTGACAACTCTTATAACTTATGATCTACATAACATTTTATATATATATTTTTTTTAATCAATTCTTTCAATATAGAACTATATTTAAAATATGTTTTGTGTTATTTTTCGTAATTACAAAAAACATTTTAAAAATTAATTTTTTTATTAAAGATTTTTTTAAGATTTTAAGATATCCATTTTATAGATAAGTTTTAGAGAAAAATTTTGATACCAAAAACTCTTATTTGAATTCAGTAGTTACGTTTATACAGAATTTGGAAGTTTGTAAAATTTTAATTTTTTTTACAATCATCCTATGGTTTTAAATGTTAGTTCATATATTATGTAAAGTACAGAAGTAAACACTTATTACATTATTTACTGGTAACAGTACGCGATTTCTTTTCCATGAAAATTATTATCATTTGAAGAAGCATTTGTAATTAACATAAAAAAACAAGAAGTAGTATAATTAAGATTATTAAAAAAAATTATGGAAACATTTTTTAAAACATGTTGAATTTTTAATTAAATAAATTCATATATCATAAATTAAAACGTGAATAATAGTTAATAGGTGCATTTATTATCAAATCTCCTAACATTAAATTACGAAAAATAACACAAAACATATTTTAAATATAGTTCTATATTGTAAGAATTGATTAAAAAAAAAAACCAGCACAGTGGTGACGTGGCATAGTTGGATCAAGTATAATGATATTTGACAGCGATTAAAATCACTATAAAAAAAAAAAACGCTTCGATACAAATCTTTAGATAGTGTTTAATTTTAAAAAACTGGTGTATTATTCCAAAAGCTACATGATCTGCTAGTTCCTTATTAATATCCTGATTAAGATAAAGTATGTCGAATGAAAGATGTATATAAATACTACTTTTCATGAAAAAATTGTATTGATCCATACATTTTTTAAAAAGTTATAGCCTTTTAAAGTAAAAAATGTAAAATATAAAATCGAGAAATTTCACACGAAAATAGCATTCAGTAGCCGTTTTCGCCATGAAGACAAGTCCAGAAGTCAAATTTTTTTTTTTTCATAATAAAGTACATTACATTAGCTTTAATTTAATATATATATATATAAGTGTCGGACCTTCCGGAACATTTTCAAAAGATAAGTTGAAAAAGTTAATTTTTTGTAAAAAAGTTTTCGTTTTAAATCTCCCCTGTGGGCAGGTTAAGGGTTAAATTTATGAAAAAAATATACCAAATGAAAGGTAATGATATTATGCATCTATAAAAAAAGAATTATATTGATATGTTCATTTTTAAAAAATTTACGGCAGTTTTTAGTAAAAAAAATTGAAAAAATTTCGAAAATTATCGATTTTTAAATTTGTAATTTCTTTGGAGGTTTCCCTCATTTACAGGGAACGAGGGAATTTTTTTCAATTTTTGAGGGTAATGTCTTCGACTAGATGCGATTTGTGATCTTTTGACGTATCGTTGAAAGAAATCGGTTCGGTGAGAGCTGAGAAAAAGTGGTAACAGACACACAAAAAAAAAAAAAAACACATCTTAGTAAAACCAATACCTTCTCAGCTTCTCATCGAAGCTAAAACTTAATTTTTTTTTTACTATAAAATGGAGAATGGTCTAAATGAAAATTTGACCGGTCGATAACCTGTTTTGATGATTTAGAAAACATGAGGGACGGAGTAGTGTTAAGCGAAACTCTATTTTTACTATAACGCGCAAATAAGATTTTTCTACGTTGCGAATCCTACTCACATATAGCTAAAACTTATTTTTTTTGGTTTTCTTAGTCATTGAGACCATACCGTCAAACAAAGTTCTCTTTTTATAATTATAAAATATTTTTCGGGAATATTCTCAGGAATGTTTTTGACAATTTTCTTTGAAAAAAAAACAAGAATATACTTTTTAATTTGTTTTTATTATATTACACAATAATGTTAAATGATCCTGAATTAATTAACAAATAAAAAAATAGTAACTTTCAAATTTACATTTTTAGTTTTAGATAGTTTTATCAAACGAAGCTAAAATCAACTTTGAAATAAAGATATCAATTATGCAATTTTTTATTCGTTTATTTACAAACGCTTTATAGTTATAGAATAACCCAATTTGTGTTAATTAAATAGTTTTTTTACTGGAATTTTAATTCATTATATCGGGAGAGTTATTATTTTTAGCGTTTGAACAATAATTGAAATTCTAAGAAATCATAAAAATGCAAAAATTAAAAAACCATAGAAATGCGAAAAAAAATTAAGGAACCATACAATAATATTTTAAAAATTGTTTTTTTTTTAGAAAAATTTTGAAATTTTTGTTATCATGCGACTATTATCCAAGTAAAAGATGATTATTTTTCCATCATATAGATATTTATTACATCAAATCATTTTTGAGGTTGATTTAATATTTTTAAAGAAATTAATAAGTTCTATTTTTTTTTTTTTTTTAAGAACATATTCTCCAATAATAATTTTCAAAAGAATATTCTTGATACCGAGAACATTTTCTCGGGAATATTTTTTCGTTACATAATTATAAAGAAGAAGTAAAAAAAATTATGTAATAATCAATAAATATATGATTCTAAAAAATATCAAAAATAATTTCCTTAATAAAATAATTATTTTAAGAGATATCAAGTTGCTAATTAAAAAAATAACACAATGTGGTCACGACACAATATAGACATGGGATAGTTGGAACAAGTATAAATGATATTTGACAATGATTAAAATTACTATCATAAAAAACGTTTCGATACAAATTTGTAGATAGTGTTTATTTCTAAGAAATTGTTGCATAATTAAAAAAAAAATGAACCCATATCTCGTTAATTATATCCTGAGTAGTAGTTCTTAGATTTAAAAATACAATTTATGAATAATATTTTTTATAGCAATGAAATATAGTACGAAATTAATATTTAATAATTTAATATTGTCATTTTTACGGAGTAATAATAAAAAATGATAAAGTAGTATATTTTGTTACTTGACTCTATGACAAACACGTATAAAAATTAAAGGGCCTGGTACTTATGAATAAATACATTGGTCTACAAGGAACGTTTGTTGGAATTAAAAATATACTTTTCTAATTCAACTTTTCGCAATGTTTTCAAATCTGAAATTACACTTTTCCTATCAATATATAATCATTATATAAAATAATAATTAAAAACAAAAAACAATTGTTTTTAAATTATTACTGATTTTTAATGTTTTAAAAATAATCAGTGCAAAATATCGTTATGAACCTATTTTTAATAAAATAGAAAAAAAAAACACATAAAAAATGAAAATTAATACCTACTCAGCTTCGCATGGAAGCTAAAATGAATTTTTACATTTGTTTATTGTATATTTCGGCTAAATATTCAGAATGTAAAATCAAATTAAACTGTTATTCCTAAAAATAGGCTAGATGTTTTTGGTTGTGTTGCTAAAGCTTAAACGAATTTCTCGTGGATTTTTGTGGTAGAAATTACATTTCAGAACTGTAAGAAAGTTCAGTTTAAATTTATAGAAAGAAGGTATAAGTTATTAAAAGAGAGAAAAGAGATGTAAAGGAAAGACAAAACAAAAAAGTGTGGTTCCCGGAGATGTGTTCTGGTATAACAGTAGAAAGTTACGTGGACACTGCAGTTGTATCATCCGAGTTTGTTCGATGCAGACAAGAGGACAGTGTGTATGTGTATGAGTGTGTGTATAATCGGCAAGCAATCAAGATAGACTGTGTCAATATAGCACTCCGGGGAGCTGTTTAGACAATTTTGACGAAAGAATGGCGCGGTAACTGCGAGATATTTGCGACGTGACTGAAGGTGAACAATAACTTCTTTGTCCCTCTTATACAACTTCTACTCTCCGCTGCCGTGTACGCATTTTTCGGTTTTTGGTAATGCTGTAATGTGTACTAACTTTTTTTGCTTCTTGCCGCCCTCTCTTGCCTAACTTCTATCGATGGCACGAGATACTGTAATAATGTGGCTAGAAAAGTGTGCATTGTCATGTTTATGATGTGTAACGCAACACGGCAGTTTCGTTAAACGTTTTACTAGGAGTTTTCCTCGTAAAAAACTACATATAGACTTATTGCATCGTTTTATCGCGTTTTATCTGAAACGAGAGAAGATGACGTAGTAAATCTGCGTAGACATTGCTTTTCGTCAAGGTCCGCTAACACTACTTATGAACATTTCAAATGGACTAATAAAGTGTTACTAGTTTATTGCTAACCAAATCCTAATACAATAATTAGAATTTAAATAAAATTGACTTTTTCTATTAGCACTTCAATACCAACACTAAAATGTATTACTTTTATATTTAAAAACAACAATTTACAATAATTTGACAATATAGTTTTCGCTAAATATGTATATTTACTCAAACAATCTTGATATAATATTATTAAATGCCACATGTATATTAATGTTAAGCAACGTTTATCACAGATTAAAACGTGATTAAAAAATATATATAAATATTTGATTAATATTAACATTTAACATTTCTGGTGTAAAATACTATCTGAGAAATAAAATAATTAACAATAAATAAACGGTAAAATAATTATATCTTAACAGACCTCAGTATGAAAAATATGACTATAGAAAAATGTTTACGATAATTACTCAAAAATTATTTTCGTAAAATAATATTGTTGTAATTTTTTTTTTTTATTGTTATAATAATAATAATTTTTTTTTATTTAATGTAAAAAAAAACTGTAATTTTATAAATATTAATATTGTGGTAAAAATATTGATGACAGAAAAACTAACGCAATGTTCGGGATCAGCGTCAAATTCCTATAAGAAAGAAAAAAAAGTGTCATAAACATATCACGACCTGAATTTTGTCAAACGCGTTATGAAATTAGTATCATAAAATTTTAGAAATTCAATTATAGGGGAAATTCTGGAAAATTGAATATTTTTATGTAACTATTTCCTTTCAAATTAAAATTTTAAATTACTGTGAATTACTTTTATATACATATATAGAATGTTGAGTAAGTAAGGAAACGGGTTTCTATTGTTCCTATTGTTTTTAACAATGGCCTATTTTCTTACATACTTAATACCCTGCATTAGTACATGGTCGTCTTAAGGTCAGAATTCCGTGTAAACCTAAAATTTCAACTATATGTTATGTAATTATTCAGTTAAATTTAATTTTGGCACAATGTAACTTTTAGGGTTCTTTTACCAAAGTAATAATTTTTTTAACTAAAAGTACTTATGTTGTACGTATCACTCAACAATTCTATGAAATAAGTCAATTAATGATAAAAAGAAATATGATTTTCTTACAAAAGAGATATCAAAAAAGGTAAAAGAAATTTCTCTGAATAAAACTCTAATGATTATTTGTACCTGACACTTAACTGCATAGTAACCACTTTGGATTCGATACAATTTATTCTTTTTCTCGAAATCCTAACTTAGGGAAATGAGTATACTCTAAACCTAAATGGACGTACCAATATTTGGATATCTATTCCGTATAGATTTATAAACAGTATATACAAACAGTATTATACTTGATGAGATTTTAAAGTCTAGCAAAGCTGTCCCAATGGACAGTTTCTGAATAACACATAGGATTTTGAATACTGAGAACCTATATTTTTCGAATTAATATGATTCGTTATACTTATGTTTGGCAGTCTTAAACCCTCGGGAAATTGTTCGAAAACGGCTTACCCTCATTGAGATGGTGACCTACGTATGTATGAGTTGGCTCAACTATAGGCGCTACGCAATAATATCTTTACAATTAAAATCTGCATAATGTAATTGTTAATTTATTCATCATCTTTGCACAACAATACAGTGAATGAATGGATGGTCGAGAGTCAGTATCACTGAAGTTCAGAAATATATTCCAAATGCTAAATAGTATTCTCTAACGGGAATTTGTCATTTGTGTTTGATTTTTTTTTTTTTAGAAAGTTACCATTAAAATTTCAAATAATTAACATACAAATGTTGAATTTTTGGAAAAAAATTATTCTAAGAGTGTTAAAAAATAATTAGTAATACAAAAACAAAATGACCTAAATAATAATAATATACCAATATTCAAAAAAACAATTATTATTTATTGTCTTGGATAATATTTAATAATTGTTTTTTGTATATATGTTACAGATATATTTTTAAAAACCATCAAAAATAACTTTTTATATTCACCCACCCCACTTAAATAGAAATAATGGAATTCATTTAAGGAAAAATTAAAATATAAATTCTGTGTTGTTTTTCTTAAAAAAATCACTAAAATAAGACTTATAAATATTTTGTAATAAATGTCGCGTTTTCTATCAGAAATAAACATGCTTTTATTGGTTTATAAAAATTAGCTTTATAAAAATATTTAAAAGTATTAACCATATTTAAAATTTTAAATTGCATTCCTAAAAAAATGTTAATTCGAATACATTTTTCTTCTTAGACGTCGATATAGTTACCTAAAAATTGATCAGACATATTATATTTTATATAATAATAATTGAATTAAACAAAGTAATAATTTCATTGAAATAATATTGTTTAGTTTTCAATTAATATAAATTAATACTTCGATGATTTTCAATGCTTTTATTCACTTGAACAAAATTAAACATTTACTTTAAGTTTCTTACATTATAAACTGGTTATTTAATGAATTCGCTCGTTAAGATTTAATTGTTTTTTTTTAAGTTCAGTATACGTTTTCAAATTGTTATTTTTTCATTGACTAAAATATTGTTGACATTTGGAAAATAGAAACATTTTGATGTTGCAACAGAAAATTGTATAAGGAGGATTGAATGTGAGGTCAAAACCAATGTTTAAAGAGGTATGGGTTATGTAATCCAAAAAGTATTCCATACACACATAAGTTTTCTTGGAGAAAAATGTAATTCCCTAATGTGTCAGAGAACGGTGGTGCAAAGGAGAATGTAGAAAGACAGGTGGCAGTAAAGCTGTTTGGTATGTCCGGCGCGAGCGAGCAAACGCCAGGTTGTCTCCCAGGGAATTGTCCGGTCAAGAGAGGAGATGATTCGAGCAGGCAGACATTTCTGTTAGTTCCGACCCGTCACAGTTACCGTATTTTCCATAAATCATCGAAGTCGCATGCCCCCTCCACCCCCGTCATTGTCGACGTCGGTCTTATCCCCTCTTCAGGCATTACCACATGAAGGACGAAAAAAGAAATGGTTCGAGTTATTTGCGAGGCACACCTTTGTGATCTCTAGTGACCGACGAGCCCGGACCAATATGAATTATTATCACTTTGCCCTCTCTAAGATGCCAGTGATGGCAGTTGAAGGGGTGCATCACCGGTCAAAATGAAATATCGTCTACTAGCAACAGCTATAACTGTTGGCTCCTCTACTACACACACACACTTACCCTTTAGTCGACTTGTACAAAGGTACAAGTGACGCACGCCTTTTAATGGAATCTTTTTTCGCACGTTCGTATTTTTGCTACACCGCACGTCTTATTCAATACACGTAATGTATAATGCATCGAGGACTCCCCAAAACACCCCTAAAAACCGTTTGTCTCGTTGGAATATAATATGTTTCTTACTCTGTCGACCGTTCTCTCCCTAACATTTATCTTAAGTCAACACACGCATCCTTTTTTCAGTTCTATTTTTTTTTGTAATTCTTAAAAGTAAACACAAAAAATTTATATGTGTCATTATTTTTTCTTCATAGATGAAAAGATAAATTTATGACATTAATGTATATATATATATATATATACATTTATAAATTAAAAGAATAGAATTCCAAAAAACAACAACTTATGTGGTTAGTATAAATAAGTAGTAATTTTTTTAATTGATTTTTTTAAATATACTGCACAACGATATCCAAGAAGTACGTGGTTTCATTAATTCCATATAAAATAGAAACATTTCTTTTTAAATTTAATTGGGCTAAAACTTATATTGATTTTATTTACAAGCTATTAATGTATAATCGTTTAATCTGGGCAAGAATTTCATGTGTTTTAACCCGTACCTCATAACCCGTGTTAAATTGACTTAAATGCGTATTTAATATACTTACATTTTTAACAAAAATGTTTAACTTCATTTTAGAGTCAATTAAATTATTATTCTAATAGATAAANTAAAATCTTTAACTTCATTTTAGAGTCAATTAAATTATTATTCTAATAGATAAAAATCTTAAAATACATAAATAAGTATTAATTTATAAAACGTTACTCTTAAATATAGCCAAAAACCTCAATGAATTTAACTACAGAAAATCATGGAATAATATTTAAGAANAAACGTCACTCTTAAATATAGCCAAAAACCTCAATGAATTTAACTACAGAAAATCATGGAATAATATTTAAGAAGCCGCACATAACGACATAACGCACCTGTTGTCGGACCAATTCATTTCCGAACGTCTCGGGGGACCATGTGATAGGGATATGTTTGACAGCTTACATATAAATAAACAGTTATCATACGAATAAGTTAGGTAAGTGTTGTTAAAATGAAAAATTGATTTAAAAATACATTTTTTGTGATCCTACTAAAATCATTTATTTTAACAGATTTAAAAAAATATTTTAAAATATGTTTTCTTGTTTAATTTGATGATAAACAATTAATAATAGTAATGAATTCAATTTCTAAAACAATTTAAAAGTTAACGAAAACATCATAGTAAAATGCGTTAAACAATAACGAATGCTTTTCTAAAAGATGTTGGTTTTCTAGATCTTTTCATGTCATCAGTATCTTTAGGCGCACTAAAATATGCGTAGATATCATTAGCTTGCTGCTTAATCTGATCTCGAGTCATTATTCCTGTATCATTAATTGCATCCATACTGCTCGACTGTTTTAGTTGTATAGGTGCCCTTACCCCCTTTTTTAACATTTCTTGGCCTATATACTTTTGCGTGTTAAACTCGAACCAAGCGCGAGCCTCTAACTGTTCCCGTTCTGTTGGTTCTGCATCCCTCATCATTGACATACATGCTTCCAGCTTTGTTTTCAAAATGTCTAATGTATCCCAACAAGCTGTTACCACCGAACGATTTTTATCATTTTCTCCTTCTATCCTTTGTTTTTTCTTGTGCATATTAGAAACCTTTTGATCTGAAGAACATTGTAAAATTAATGAATCGTTACCTTGTCTGGCCATCCGTTGGATGTCTAAAGTATTGAGTAGATCATGAATGTCTTGCATAGCTTCAGAGCAAGAGTCTCGCATATGTTTACTCTTTTTCAAACGGTACTGCCTTACTACTGGTAACTAAAAAAAAACATTTAGCTGTTAATTTAATAAATTTGTGTTTATGAAATTATGATATTATGAATTTTACTGTGTCATTTATTAACTACACTTCCCCGAATAACTATATAAAACTATACAACACTAATATATACGATATTCTAAAAAAATTTTCTACCAAAGACTTATAAATTTCTTTACTCTAAAACTTCTATAAAATTTTTTAGCTCTATCCTCTCCTCTTGCGCATAATATTTAATAAACTTAAAATTTTTTTATTACAGCAACAGATTTATTTACCTGGTATATGAATTAAAAAATAATCTAAGTAAGAAAATGATTGGTTGATAACAACTTTTCACTTAGTATTGCAGGAGTTATTAATAATTAAAAATAAGTGCACAGTGGGGTGGCGGCACAGTGGGGTCGTGACATAGTTGGGTCCAGTATAGATGATATCTGACAGTGATTAAAATCACTATCATAAAAAACGGTTCGATGCAAATCTGTAGATAGTGTTTAATTTAAAAAAAAAAAATTTGTTAAAATAGAATATTTTGGAATACGGTAGCCATTTGCGCATAGAAGATAGGTCGTCGGGACAAATTTTTTTTTTTCATTTGATAGTATATAACATAACCTTTGATTTGATATAAGTTTAAAGGACGCAGAATCCCGGAACATTTTCAAAAGTTCAGTTGAAAAAGATCTATGTTTTATACAATATTTCAAGTTTTAAACGCCCCCTATATAAGGGTAAATTGTCTAATTTTAATAAAAAGTATGTCAAATGAAATATGTACTTATAATGTATTTAGAAAAAAAAATTTATGCTGATATATACATTTTTCAAAAAGTTATAGCATTTTTAAGTTGAAAATTTAAAATCGAAAATCGAAAATTTTAACACAAAAATAGTGTTTTTTTAACTACGGCAGCCGTTTAAATGTAGAAAAAAAAGTGTCGGGACAAATTTTTTTTTTTCATTTTGTAGTACATAAAATAAGCTTTAATTTGATATATGTTTAAAGGACGCAGTATTTCCGGAACATTTTCAAAAATTAAGTTGAAAAAGTTATTTTTTGTAAAAAAGTTACTATTTTAAATCCTCCCAGTGAGCAGAATAAGTGTTAGATTTTCAAAAAAAATTATATCAAATGAAAGGGAAATATCTAAGGTTTCAATACAAAAAAATATTATTTTTATTTGTTCATTTTTGAAAAAGTTATGGCAGTTTTAAGTACAAAAAACATCCCGATAAAATGTAATTTTTATCGCAAACATTACATTTTTTTTTAAATTTTCGACAGCCATTTGCACATAGAAGATAAGATGTCGGGACAAATTTTTTTTTTTCATTTGATAGTATATAACATAACCTTTGATTTGATATATGTTTAAAGGACGCAGTATTTCCGGAACATTTTCAAAAGTTCAGTTGAAAAAGATCTATGTTTTTTACAATATTTTAAGTTTTGAACGCCCCCTATATAAGGGGAAATTGTCCAATTTTAATAAAAAGTATGTCAAATGAAAGATGTACTTATAATGTATTTAGAAAAAAAAAATTTATGCTGATATATACAATTTTCAAAAAGTTATAGCATTTTTAAGTTGAAAATTTAAAATCGAAAATCGAAAATTTTAACACAAAAATAGCGTTTTTTTAACTACGGCAGCCGTTTACATGCAGAAGATAAAGTGTCGGGACAAATTTTTTTTTTCATTTTATAGCATATAAAATAAGCTTTAATTTGATATATGTTTAAAGGACGCAGTATTTCCCGAACATTTTCAAAAATTAAGTTGAAAAAGATCTATGTTTTTTACAATATTTCAAGTTTTGGTCGCCCCCTGCTCATTAGGAGGTTACGTGATAGATTTTCAAAAAAATTATATCAAATGAAAAGAAAATATGTAAGGTTTTAGTAGAAAAAAATTTATGTTGATTTGTTTATTTTTCAAAAAGTTATGGAAGTTTTAAGAAAAAAAAATCACTATCATAAGAAACGCTTCGATGCAAATCTATAGATAGTGTTTAATTTTAAAAAATTGATGGATAATTGCAAAAGCAACATCAACTTCTATTAAAATAAAATACAAAACCCATAATTTTCATACAAAAATAGCATATTTTTCAATATGGTAGCCATTTGCGTATAGAAGATAGATCGTCGGGACAAATTTTTTTTTTTCATTTTGTAGTACATAAAATAAGCTTTAATTTTATATACGTTTAAAGGACGCAGTATTTCCGGAACATTTTCAAAAATTAAGTTGAAAAAGTTATTTTTTGTAAAAAAGTTACTATTTTAAATCCTCCCAGTGAGCAGAATAAGTGTTAGATTTTCAAAAAAAATTATATCAAATGAAAGGGAAATATCTAAGGTTTCAATACAAAAAAAT